GAGAGGATCAAGGTCTCTCAGGCTGCGGCAGAGCTTCAGCAGTACTGCATGCAGAATGCCTGTAAGGATGCTCTGCTGGTTGGAGTTCCAGCCGGAAGCAACCCCTTCCGAGAGCCCAGATCCTGCATTTTACTCTGAAGACTTGGAAGAAGTTTGTTGAGAAATGCCTTCGAGCACAAAGTAATGAATGACTGACTCCAAGTCTCAAGAAAACACTTTTCTTTAGCCAAATGACTGAGATATTTCAGACCTTTCCAGTGTCCTGATCTTACAGCCAAAATTCTACAGAAATTTATGATTTTCTACTCAAATAAGGAAACTGAGTGAAGAAATAGAATTGTTTTAAGTAATAATGGCTTGGTTCTTCTGAAGAAGTGCTTTGTATTAAGATAAAAACCTTACCACCAAATATACCAAAATACACCTCTTTAATAAGTGAGTTACTGGTGTTGCTACACCTAGAATATCATGTATGTTTTATTAACTGGATGTTTACATTTTAGGAAGGAAAACACTTTTGTTTATTTAAAAAAATGGAGTATTTGTAATTTGTTGTTCCTAAGATTTTTATACTATAATAAACTTTGTTCTATCATAAATTTACAATTACTAAATGAAGACAAGAAAGTATAAAATTGTGGGGGAAGAATAGACTTTACTAATAGAATGATGCCTTAATTTTTTCTAAATAAGATTGTTTTATTTAACACAAGAGGTGTTGTTCAGAAAGATTCATGTTATGATATATATTAGGTTGTCCCATTTTATGTAAGAAGCAGATTTGATCTCTTTTTAAGTTCCTTTACTTTATAGTTGTGGTTGCACTTTTAAAAAGATACTACATTATTTCATGCCTTTAAAAAAATGTTTAAATTAGGACCTACTTACAGAACATTGCAAATAATTGAAAACAAAGTAATGTGAAAATATTATGACCTAAAAGAATTCTTCATGTCACAAGGGTTTGACTTTGATGATGTGCCTTTGATTTAATTTGGGATACTTTTAGAAGGATACTTAGTATTTGTAATAATCTTTGAAGATCTTGGAAATAAATTCTGTTTAACTTATCATTTTCTATGACAAAAAAAAAAAAGAACTATTTTTGTATGATGGTCTACTTAGTGTGTATACACTGTAACTAACAGCCAGGTGTGGCTATATAGAATTCTCTTTTGCTAGTTACTAATTCAGCACAGATTTTTTTGTCTACTTTGGAAATAATCAAGCTTTCAGTTTTAGGAGCATTGTGGAGAGAAGTTGTTATTAATAGACTTAAGAATGTCAAGTGATTTTCAGGAATAGGAGAAAAAGGCACTTCTCCCACACAATTGATATTAGCACTGTGGGCTGGGGATGTGGCTCAAGCGGTAGCGCGCCATGCCTGGCATGCGTGCGGCCCGGGTTCGATCCTCAGCACCACATACCAACAAAGATGTTGTGTCCGTCAAGAACTAAAAAATAAATATTAAAAATTCTCTCTCTCTCTCTCTTAAAAAAAAAAAAAAAAAAAAAAGATATTAGCACTGCAGGGTATGGAGACAATAAAAGTTTATGAAATATTTATTGTTGTAATGTTTAAAAGAAAAAAATGATTAATTTTCCATAATGTAGGAAATAAGTTTGGAAAGGATTCCTCGGCTGCTAAGTCTACAAAGGAGACAGAGTAAGAAAGTACTGAGTAAGGCCTATATGTAATCAATACGGAATATTGGTCGGATAGCCATGTATGTTCACTATGGGCATGGTATCATTTATACAGCTATTTCTCTTGCATATGCAGTACAAATGTTTTGTTTTTGAGGTCCATGTTCTTTTTTTTTTTTTTTTTTTAGTACTGGGGATTGAACCCAGGGGCGTTTAACCACTGAGCCACATCCCCAGCCCTTTTTTGTATTTTATTTAGACACAGGTTCTCACTGAGTTGCTAAGTGTCTCACTAAGTTGCTGAGGCTGGCTTTGAACTCTTAATCCTCCTGCCTCAGCCTCCTAACCCACTGGGATTACAGGCATGCATCATCACGCCCTGCTGAGGTCCATGTTCTTTTAAAAATTTACTTTGTATAAGAAGAGGCTTTTTAGCTGTAAAAAGCTTACTTATTTACATCTTCCTTTTAGACTGTCCTGTAATGTAAAGCTCATCTTGACTCTGCAAGCTAGAATCAGGAGTATGAAAGGAAAATCATTTAAATTGAGTGGTGTACAGTTCTGTAATCCCAGCTATTGGGGAAGCTGAAGCAGGAGAATCAAAAGTTCCAGGCCAACCTGGCCAACTTAGTTCTGCCCTGTCTCAAAAAATAAATAAATAAATAGAAAGTAAGATCATTTACATTTGACCATGGGCATGATTAGCTGGTCAATGAACAAAGATTTTCATTTCCTGAGGCGGAACTGGATGCCTTTATTGCTCTGCCACCCTGCTGCTGCCAATAAAATCATTCCTTACTCTGCAAGAGGGACCAGATGATTCCATCACAATACTCCTTGTTTTCTGTTTTCTCCTTTGAGGTAGCTAAAAAGGGCAGCCTCCCTAAAATCTTTTTGAGGCTTTTAATCAAGCATATATTCACGTTACAAAGCAGAAGACAGGGTTTAACTTCTTAATTTGATTTATCTGACACCATGCCAGACACTTTAAACAGGGGAGTGTTCTGCAAAGTGTAATTTTCAGCAACTGTAGGACTGAATAGTACTGGAATATTAACAGGAATCTTCAAAGACCATGAAAGTAGCTAGTTGCAGTGGCGCATACCTATAATCCCAGCAGCTCTGGAGTCTGAGGCAGGAGGATTGCAAGTTCAAAGCCTTAGCAATTTAGGAAGGGAAGGGAGGGGAGGGAGGAGATGTAACTCAGTGGTTAAGCACCAGGTTCAATCTCTGGTACCAAAAAAAAAAGAAAAGCCCATGAATGAAAGCATAATATTAAATAGCTCTTTTAATTACAAAGAAGAAAATGAAGAAACTTATGATGTTTCACATTCCAAGTTCTACCACAACTTTGAAAGGAAATTAAGGAATCCCAGAATGTCTTCATCTACTTCAGTATTAGCTCTGAATTAATGACTAAGTTTATCAAACTTCAGGTCATCCTTTGTTGCTTTTAGTTGAAATTATCTACTAATGACAAAACCTACTTTGCTGACATTACAAATAAGATTTTCAGGGCTGGGGATATAGCTCAGTCGGTAGAGTGTTTGCCTCACATGCACAAGGCCCTGGGTTCAATCCCCAACATCAAAAATAATAATATTCTCAAAACTATGGATGTGCTATTTTCACAAGCCTTATACTTGATCACTAAAGTACATTATTTTCGAAGCTGTATCAAATGAACTGATTTGGGGAAAAATTTATAGGAGTCTATGCTTATGGCCTACAGCAAGGCCATGTTTTAGATCTGGAATATTGTCAAAAACTAAAGAAACCTGGTGTTCAAGAAGTACTTCAGCAGTTATCACCACGTCTATCAATTATCTACTAGAAATCTTTCAACTTTGCTATCACCATGAACCATTGTAGAGGATAGTACATTCCATCCTAGTTTGCTTTAGAAGGTCTGAATATAATTCAGAGTTTTCTGTTATATACTGAAGTTCCTTGATCAAAGAGAACTATATTCATCCAAGCTTATGGACAGAAGAGCCCCAACCTGAAATAATAGTGAAAAAGAATGTGTACTTTTAAGATTTTAAACATTAAAACTTTTAGCAGTTCTAACAAACTGGAGTGTAAAATACATTGAACCTGAAATATCAATGGGCAAACACCAACATTATTTATTATAAAATATTTCAAGCAAAAATATAGCACATACATGTATATATGAGCAAATGCTAAAAGTGTCTAATTTTCTTGGCCAAGGACCAAATTTGAGAACCAAATTCATGAATATTATTTCAAGGAAAAAAGTGAAATATTCAGAATTACTCTGGGTGATGTGTTCCTGAATTATAACCTACCTATGGTAGTTTGGAAGAGAATTGTGTTTCATTCCAGTGTTCAGTTCTCATTGGAAAAGTTTTAAGCGTTTGTAGAATTCAAAGAAGCTTTGATTAGAAATTTCCAGATGAATACTCTAGAGAAACTTGGTATAAAAGGTCTAAACAGATGAGATGTCTTTATTCCATTCCATTCATTATTCCACTTTGTCATTACATCTTAAAAGGTTTTTTATTATTTTATTAATATAGATAATGTTAAAAGTAATCTGTATTTTGTTGCATCTTCGATATGACCCAGGAAAGAAAAGTTTAGGATTAACAGTGACATGGTTATCATATCACCTGATTAAATTTTTTTTCCTTCTAAAATTGGCATTGCTTTTTGATTTAGTCATGCTTAATTTAAAATTTTTATGAAAATTAGGGTTATAGTACAAAAACACTGAAAAAAAAACCAGCATAACCATATGCACTTCTGTTTAATGAATGTCTTCCCTGTCAACTGATGTATTGCAAATCAGACTTTTTAAAAATTTATTTTGATACCAGGATTGGACCCAGGGACACTTAACCACTGAGCTACATCCTCAGTCCTTTTTATTTTGATTTTGAAATGGTCTCACTAAGTTGCTGAGGCTGGCCTTGAACTTGTGATCCTCCTGCTTTCTAAGGCATGCATCACCAAACTCAGTCAGACAACTT